ATGGCGGGCATGGCGGGCCTGTGCCAGAAGATGCTGGTGATGATGTGGCTGCCAACGACTGGAAGGCTAAGAAGGCTGCCCGATCGGCCCGCGCCAAGGCAGCTGCCGAGCGCCGTGCAGAGGCCGCAGAGGAGGAGCGCCGCGCCATGCGGGCTAGAGACATCGCATGCCGCCGAGCCATGCGGGCAGCTGGTGAGCGCCGTGCAGAGGCCGCCGAGGAGGAGCGCCGCGCCATGATGGCAAGGGAATTGCATGCCCAGGGCAGCCGATCATCGTGGCAGCCATGGCGTCTGGCGGGGCGGCACCGTCACAACCGACGCCAAGCAGGGTGGAGCTGCGTGTGGTTCCTGGAGAAGAGCGCCCGTTGCCAAGGGGACGAGATGACGCAGCCCGCAGTTCAGATGTTGAGAGGGATCGAAGCCCCAGACGATCACATGATGGACATGGGGAAGGCGTGTTTTCACAAGGGTGGTGAGTCTCCCTGCGGAGGTGAACGCTGCCAGCGGTGCTGGCTCTTGCCCAGCGCGCGTCACCTCCGCAGGTGTTGCAGGCTCGTGGAATGCTGTCTTGCCGTGCAATCCACTGCCATATTGCAGCAGGCTCGTGGATGAGGTGTCCAGGCCTGCCGCGGCATGTTCAATTTTTGCCTCAGAGTAAAAAGAAGAGTACGACTTGCCTCGTCTTGTCTTGCATCGTCACTGTTCTTTCATGCGCCTCTGCATAAGTTGTTACGCACTTGTCAGCATGCATTGATCGTCGATTCATAGTTCAGTGCAGCGACGGAAGTATTGGATGTGGATGTCCGCACGTCAGACGACAGTGCGCGGGAGTCTCCGCGGGCGTCCCCCGCGAGCCTGGAGAGCATTGCTGGCCACGAGGTGTCCCCTCTTGAGGCCAGTGTGACTCCCATGGTCCCTCCCATCCTGATCCTCCCTTCTCATCCTGTTTCTTGCACCGCATGTGTGTTGCGAGCGGCAGTAAGGAGTAGCTGGGCTGGAGCAGGGTTATGGCGTGGGTGAGGGCGGTGGCATTGTCTCATGGCGTCCATGCTCGACCCCACGCGCGGTCCGAGGCCCGATAGTACGAACAGCGTGCCCCGCCATGCCGAGCTGGCGTAGTGTTGTCTGCAGAAGGCATGCGGAGACGCGGATGTCAGGATGCCACATATGTGCACTATTTCCCGAGGGGGTAGACCCGTAGAGCCCTATGGGTGCCGACGATGGCTTAAATGCGACGGAGCGTGTATCCCCTCGGGACCATGGAGTATCACCTTCATATATTCCCCTCAGCCTCCACCTCCGTCCCCTCCCATGTGCGAGGCGAGCAGCAGAGTATGGGGTAGCAGGGAAGGGGTGCTGCTGCCTGCTGTCACTACATTGCATGACCACTTTGTGCGGTCGTCGTGAAATATTTTGTCAGGACCGTCTCTCTTATGGTGCTCAGGCGCGGGAGGCCTGGCCGAGAGTGCGAATAGCGCGCCCCGCCATGCCTTCTGACGCGAGGGTGCCAGCAGCGGCCCCGCTGAGAGACGATGTCCTTCTCAACCGCTCTCTCTCCTGTGTATATGATCCCCCCCTCTCTTTACCCACGCTCGTGCACCGTTAATGGCGTAGCCTGTTCGGCAAGCGATACGGTCGGGGATGGGTCAATTGGTGGGTGGGACTGGAGATGTCTTGACACTTACTTCGCCGGTTTGGGGTCGGAGCCTGTTCTGCTTTGACACGCACGGCGCCAAGCTGTCATACCTTTAGGTGTGGTCGTTGGGGACGGGATGGGCAGTGGGAGGCTGGGCCGTGAACACGTACTCTCCTTGGCGCCCGTGCTTCAATGCTCTCGACTGCTCGTGTGTATGAAGCTAGCTGAGTGCCCACACTATCTGACCGCTGTCCAGGGCGAATCAGGTCGCAATTCAAATTCCCCCCGCCATCCCTTCCCTCCAAAAGGGGAGGAGGAGGAGGACGCCGACGAGGAGGAGGAGGACGAGGAGGAGTGCGGCCTTCATGCCATCAGTGTCTCCGTGTCTCAGGAGGATGCAGAAGACGAGGAGGACCTACGACAGACCGATCACACACGGGGGAGGTCCCTGGAGGTCCCTGCAGGGCCCTGAAGTCCTTGGAGGTCCCTGGCAGGTCCCTGGGAGTCCCTGGCAGGTCCCTGTGAGGTCCCTGGGGGTGAACGAAGGTTAAGAAGGAGGCCGACGACAGGGAGAGTGAAAAGACTCCTGGACCTCCTAGACCCGAGACTCTAGGCCCCTAGCATTTATAGACCCCATACACAGTGTAGGCTACACCCAACGACCTTTGGACGTGGTGGTGAGGAGGACCTGCGCCTGACAGATAGCACACGGATGAAGCCCCTGGTATGTCGCTGGAAGTTCATGGAAAGTCCCTGCCTCATCCGCCTCCTCCTCCGCGGACGCCTGGGGGTGGGCCCATTCGCAGACTCCGCCTTCTCCTACTCATTGTCCGCGTCTTCCCTCCCGCTCCGCCTTCTCCCCCTCCCTCTCCCGCGCCACACGGATCACGCAAGTCCAGAAGAGGGGGAAGGGCGGGGCAGCCGGGAAGCCAGGGGCCACGCCAGGAAGACAGCAGAGCGCGGCGGGCGCCGGGACGAGGGCGCCAGGCAACTCGCATGCGCGAACCACACCCAAGAGAATGATTTTGGAGGTGGATGGGGGGCAGGCAGATGGGGCCACAGTGCCACCCGAGCAGTGACACCGGATGAGGAACGGGGGGGGGCTCTCCTGGCCACGAACCGGCTCCCCGGCTTGGATGCGAGAAGCGGCCCCGAAAACCAGAGCCCCTCCTGAACCTCAGGTACTCCTCCTTTCTGAAGGGGCCCTGGGACACACAAGTGGATACATACAACTGACAAGATTCCCCATATCTTTCCGTATTTTCTGGGTTTTCGTCTTCCCCCCCACTTCCCATATCTTCCCACATTTTCCTGAGATTGACGATTAATGGTGTCTGTGTGTTTTTTCCCCTCCTGACTTTCGGCGTCTCGACTGCAGCACGCTCGAGGGGAAGAGCTCTGCGAACGCTCGTGATCGTTCGGCGATGGACAAACCTCCCTTTCATAAACCACACTTCAGTAAAAACGGCCTAGGACCGAAACCGACGGACCTGGACCCGCAAAAATGACGGCCGCGACGCCCTCCCGCGAACCGAAAACTGCAAATTCGCTAACCGACGTGCCAGGGTAGGAGGCCTTTCAACCTCCGAACCGTTTTGGTGGCATCTCTTGTGCAGAACGTGTGGTGCACGGCATGTGGAGGAGTGCGCACGGGAGCGCCCACGGGGCGGGCGCGGGCGCCAGCGCAGCGAATCCTCGACGGGCCCCCACACGGGGCGCCGGGGCGCACCCCCGAGGCCCACGGGGCAGGCGGGTGAGCGCCGGCGGGGCTGATGGGCATGTTTTCCACCACCGCCACCAGAAGCTGGAGGGGGGAGGGGGTACTCCTCCCCCTCCTCCTCCTCCTCCTCCTCCTCCTCCTCCTCCTCCTCCCTCCCTCCTCCTCCTCCTCCTCCTCCTCCTCCTTCTCCTCCTCCTCCTCCTCCTCCTCCTTCTCCTTCCCCTCTCCAACTTCTGGCGGTGGTGGTGGAAAGCAAGCCCATGACAGGCGCCACGGAGCGGCGGTGCGCACCGGGTGCCCACGAGGCGGGCCAGGGCAGCAGCGAGGCGAAGCCTCGGCGGAGATACGTACAGACATACATACATTCATACACACACATACATTCATGCATTCATACATATGTACATGCATACATACATATATAAATGCATACATGCATAAATGCATACATGCATACATGCATGCACGCGCATACTTTCACATATATACACATATACATATACACACATGCATACATACATACTCACAAACACACATACATATATACACACGCGCACACAAGCATACATATGTATACATACATACATGCATGCACACGTACATGCATACATACACACATAGATACATATACTTACACACATACGCACATACTTATATACAGCCATACATACATACATACTCATATATACATACACACATACATATGTATATGCACACGTATATACACATATACATACATACATACACATACATGCATACATACATGCATATAAATACTACCGCATAAAGACACACATACATACATACACACATACATGCATACATACATGCATACACATAAATCCATACATACAAACATACATACATACAACCATACGTGCACAACTGCACATATACATGCATACATACATGCATACAACCATATACATACAACCATACATCCGCATACACATACACACATACATACATGCATGATTAGGTACACGCATGCATCCACGCAAACACATATAGCCATATACACACAAACATACATGCATGCATTCATACATACATACATACACATACAATCATGTGTATAAACGTATACAAACATACATACATGCATACATACATACATACATAAACAACTTCAAAAACACATGTTTGCATACATAACAATGCATACACACATATACACACATACGTATACACACATATATATATACATGCATATAGACATACATACATACATGCATGCATGTATGCATTATTTTTATTTGAACCGCGTGGGCGCCAGTGCGAGGCGCCGCTGCGTCTTCGAAGCCCCCCGCCGAGGAGAAGGCCCAGAGACCAGGGGAAGGCGCAGGCCGAGGCAACGAGGACCCAGGAGCCCAGGACGGCCCAGGACCCCAGGCGAAGAGGAGAGGAGGAGCGGTCCGAACCCCCGCTCAGCTCTCGGCGGCACGCTCGCGCGAGGAGGCGGCGCGCGCGCCCCGCGCCGCCCCGCCTTCCGCCGCCGCCCAAGCCCCGCGGCCGAGCGGGCGCCCCAGCCGAAGGGCGGACGGGGGCGAGGCGCCCCGACGGCGCGCCTCCGCAGGCGCGGCCACGGGCCGCTCCTCAGAGGCCCGCCCGCCGCGCCCGTCCACCAGCCTGAGGATCACGTCCATCAGCGCTGGCCCAACCACTCCTGAAGGCTCCGATGGAGCCCGCCTGGCGGCGCGGTGCCCTGGAGCTCCACGCCGCCGATCTGGATCACCGCCTTCTTGAACGTGGTCGCGATCTCGGCCGCCCCGACCGCCGCGCACACGCGAGTGTGCCGCTTGTCGTACATGTCCTTCAGCTTTATGTACTTGAAGTTCGCCGCGATGAAGTCCTGCTCGCTGACCTGGGCGTGGAGCGCCTTCACTGGCCCCTCGAGGTCGGAGCCCGCCATCTCCGCTGCGGTGGCCAGCGAGCGCACCGCCGCCCCCACGAGGTGCGGCAACGGCGGGCCCAGGCCGTGCTGCGCAGGGCTCTTGCCGCGGCAAATGTTGTTGTAGGTCTTGCCCGAGCCCATCGCGTTCTTGATCGTGTCGTTGTCGAGCGGGGCCTTGAACGCGAGGTAGCAGGCCGACTCGAGGCCGCGGATCTGGAAGTCGTGCGAGAACGCCAGGCGCGCTAGGGTGGCCACCGTCTCCTCGAACTCGTCCTGCTGGCGCCGGGCGCGAGGCTTCGCGGCGGCCTTGGGCCTGCCTCGCGGCAGGGGCGTCACTGTGTCCTCCTCCTCCTCCTCCTCTTTCCCGCGGCGTGCACCTCTTCCCGCGGGGCGTTGGCGCACCCGGCGGCCGCCTGGAGGACCTCCCGCCACCGCGCGCGCCCCTTCGTCGGCCACGGCTGGCGAGGCCGCCAAAGCCCAACCGGGTGCCTGCAGCATCGCAATGAGGCATCGGGGGCCGCGGCGGCAGCAAAACTGGTCTCCGCCCAGCGGAGTGCACTGCGAGAACATGGCTGTAGCGGTGGTCAAACGTCGGAGACTGCTCGCCACAAACAGGACATCGCATGTCTTCTGGGACCAACAACTTCGGCGCAGCATGGGCCAGCCCGCCACGGCAACGCCCTCGAGCAAGAGCGAATCTGACACGTTGCGTCGCCGTCGCCCGAGAAACAAGAACAGTATAGCAGAATCCGCACTGGAAAGGCAAACACAAGGACGACTCCGCCGCTCGACACTTGTGTGAACTGATTTTGCGCCACAGCAAAGCTCGCTCCGAACGGAAGGCGGCCCCGCGCGAGCCCTCAGCGCAGGGCCCCCTGGCACGCGAACTCGAAGTCCCCGATCTCGATGAGGCCAGGCGGCTCGCGTGCTGGCCTGTCGCGGTCGCCGCGCAGGGTCAGCCAGCGATGACGCACGGCCGCGTCTACCTCACGGGGCGGCGGGCGCTGGGCCGCCCAGCCGCGAACCCGAAGCACGCGCGGGTCGAGTTGAAGGACTTCATCCAGCAAGGCCCCCTCCAGCAGCAAGAGGGGGCGCGCGCCCCGCGCCTCCAGCAGGTCCTCGCGCTCCGACGCGCGCAAGAGCAACTTCGCGTCGTCCACCCGCAGCCTCGCGAGCGCCGAAGCCCCCTCGCCCCGGCGGCCGCCCACCTCCAGCACGGGCTGCAACACGAAGGGCAGCTGGCCGGACAAAGCCGCGAGCTCCATCTCGCAATCCGCGGGGTGGCGCACCATGCACTTCACGAGCCCAAGCCTCACCATGCGCAGCTCGGTCTCGATGTCAGCCATCTGCAGCAGCTGGCGAACGACCTGGGCGGGCTGTGCCGTTAGCCCTCCTCGGCCAGGAAGCCCCGCGACGCCCGCGCGCCCAAGGCCGAGCGACCCAGGCGCAGAGCGGCCCCGCCCAGCGACGCCAGGAAGAACTGCGCGGGCGCGACCGCAGCCGCACCAGAGAGGAGCGCCCCCAGCACCAAGGAGCGGAAAACCCGGCGCGCCACCTCGACGGAGACCTCGGACTTCCAGAGGCGCCCCACGTCAGCGACGCCTCGCGTGGCCGCCGCGCACCCGAGCCCTGATCTCCGTCGCGAGGCCGCCCTGGTAGTGCAGCGTCGGGCCAAGGTAGCGAGCGACCGTTGAGCAGTTGCCGCGCGCGCCGAGCCTGCCCGCGAAGAAGGCGCGCGTCTTGGCCCTGGCCCCCTCGCCACGGAAAGCGCACATGGCGCACTGCTTGGAGATGTTATGCTGGAAGCCGCGCGGCTCCAGCAGCCCGTCCAAGAGCTCGTCCGAAGCCTTGTGGTTCTTGATCGCGGCGTCGTAGCACCGCGAGACGAAGCGCTTGCAGAGGTCGCCCGCGAGATTCGCGAGGCCGAGGTCCAGAACGGCGCCCGCGACGACGGACTTCGCCTCAAGCAGCTGCGCGTCGGGGCGACCGGAGTCCGCCATGGCCCACTCAGTCGCCACTGGCGTGAAAACCTCGGGGAGGAGCGGGGGGCCGATCGAGTCGCCAATGAGCGCGCCCTGGTTGGTCTTCATGCGCAGCGCGCCCTCGGCCGTCTCCACCTCGCAGTGGTAGTCGAAGACCCTCCGCGAAACAATGGGGCGGTCCTCGGCGCGCGCCATGCTCTCAAGGCCATGCGCCATGTCACGCACCGACGGGCGCTGAAACGCACTGCTCAGGCCCTTGAAGCTCGCGAGCGCCGCGAGGCCGCAGCGCGCGGCCCGCTCGGCCACCGCCGCCGTGACCGCCAGAGCCCCATCCCGCGAGCGCCTAGGGGCGAAGCCGAAGGGTGCCCCCTTCACCTTCTGGGTCCTCGCCGCCTACACAGAGGTGTAGCCCTTGCCGACGCGGCGCATCGCGCGGGCGACCCTGCCGACGCCCGCCGCCCTGGACCTGGGCCACGCCAAGGGCGCCGTCTTGAACAAGCGGACGAGGGCCAAGCAGTGCAGCATTCGCTTCCTGAAGACCTTCATGCTCGGGGGATCCGCCCTGTAGCCGACGCCCTCGCCCTGCCTGACTACAACGAGAGGCGCCGAGCACATCCTCCACGCCGGCACGGGCGCCGACCACGGCGGCGCCGCCCGCCGCGGCTGCGTCCTCCGCCGCATGCGTTCCCCCAGCTCCCCCAGGTCCTCCAGCGCCGCCTCCTCGGCGTCCAGCACCGAGCAGCACTGCGCCAGCGGGGGCCGCAGCTGCTCGAGATACTCGCGCGTCCAGCTCCGTCGCAGAGTAGCCCCCCAGTCGCCCAGGACTCTTGAAGAGCTTGCGCCGCGCCGCCGCCGCGCGCCCCAGGCGGGGGGCGCAGTGCGCCCGACGGCGCGCGCCCAGCCCCCGCTCGCCCAGCAGGCGGGCCAGCCCCCAGACCGCGGCCGCGTCGCCCGCGCGCCCCGCCTCCGCCAGCGCCCCGCAACGCACCGCGCGGAGCCGCCTGCGCTGCTGCCGCTGGAGCGCGCGCAGACGGCGCGTGGCGCCCTTGAGCTCCTGCACGCACCTCCCATGCTCGAAGTCCGTCGAAGCCCCCATCTCGCCCTCGAGCACGCGCCGACAGCGGATCCAGCCCGCTCCTGCACCAGCTTCTTGCGCTGCTCCGTCGCCTCCTCCACCCCCCTCGTGTCGCGCCCCTTGAAGCCGAAGTGCGCCAGGCCCGTCTCGCGCACCGCCTCCGCCAGCTCGTCCCAGGCCTCGTCGGGGCCCCGCTCCTCATCCAATGGAGGACGAACCACGTCCTCGCACTTGTACTCCAGCTCCGTCAAAAACTCCAGCTTGCCCTGGTGCCGCTTCAGAGCCAGCATGCAGGCGTCCATGTCCCACTGCGCCCGTACACACCTGGGAAGAATCTCAGGGTGCACAGGAGTGATCCTCACGGAGACCCCCAGCGGCGCGTGGCCCCTCCTACCGCGGGCTCGAATGGCCTGCAGCCTGTCGCCGATCGTGTAGAGCGGCTCGCAGTCCGCGACGCTCAGCATGAGCTCGCGGGGCATGGCGATCACGTCGGGCCTCGACCTGGCCCCAGTCGGGCCTGAGAAGGTATAGCCCTCCAAGAAGGTGTTGACCGTGGCGGGCTCCCACTCCTCGCAGAGCCGCCTCCACGCCGAACCCGACTCGTGCTCCAGCGCGGGCTCGACCCGCCCGATAGCCTCAGGCAAAAGCGAGAAGACCCCCGCCTCGTGTTTGACCATGCCAAGCCCGTCGTTGAGGTCGGCGCAGAGCAACGGCGTGCAGCGCGTGGGCGTCTCCATGAGGCAGCGCTGCGCCCACGTGAAGAGAGCGTCCGCCGCCGCCCGCTGGACCGCCACCCCACGCACAGCAAAGTAGAGGGCCAGCACCAGGATGTCCAGCGTGCCCCGCCCAAGGCGGGCGCCGCCGCCGCGCCCCCGCAAGGCCGGTGGCGGCGACAGCAGCTTCAGCACCTTGAACCCCTTTTTGAAGAAAATCGAGACGCCGCACGCCTTGTTGGTGCGCCCGCCTCGTCCCCATCCCTAGTGGAGCGCGTCGTGGTTCGGCAAGGTCTGCTTCGAGACGTCCTCACCGCCACGCCACTTCACCTGCGTGCCTTGCAGCGCCACCACGTCGTGCCGCCCCAGTTCCTGACTGATCTCTTCGGCGCGGAGGCGCCTGCACAGCGTGAGCGGGTTGTAGCTGACCACGCGCATCGGCGCGTCCCCCACGGGGGGGAACCAGCTTCAGCACGCCAGGGGCCTCGCGCGAACGCGGGGAGGCAAAGGCGACGACATGGCGCAGCCCGCTGGTGCCGTGAGCCACTTGGCGTCGCGGCCCGCCACGCCCTGAGCAGATGTGCGACGCTGCATGCATGCATGCATGCATGCATACATGTGCATACATGTACATATGTATACGTATATATATATATATATATATATATATATGCCCTCAGGTTCCGGGTGTCAAAAGGCACGTCATAACACACGGGATCCCTGCTCCCGGGACCACGATCCCGAGCGAAGTGCAAGTTGCAACAAGATCCGCGCTCTCAGGACCAAAATCCTCTCGCAAGGTACAATGGGTCCTCGCTCCCAGGGTCTCCAGCCCTTTGCAGCACCTTTTTCGGGCACGGCGGAGAAGCGCTGCTGCACACGTCCTCGTGCGCAGTCTCTGCCGCCCTCTCGGAAGAATGCTTGGCCTGCTCCCCCGCCTTGGATCGACTGGCGCCATCAGATCTAAGGTCGCACGGCTTCGCGCACCGCGCCCCGCGATGCGCGGATATTGTTCTGCCCTCGCTGAGGGAACAAAAGAAACCGATGCCGCTCATTTCTGGGCCTCTCCCAGGGTGCGCTCTGGATTCCGAGAAGAAAACAACCGTGACGACAAGGCGACACGGGCTCTCCAGGACGAGCAGCGATATCGGTATCTCGTCTTCCTCTGACTCGCGTCGCCGCGCTGGACGAGGGCGCCGTTTGCGGCCAAGACCCTCGGGCGCGAAGAACGATCATCTTCGCGCCCATCTGGGTGGTTCCGCCTGCCCGCGGGCGGCAGCTCGCCTGGAAGCTCGATGCTCGACTGCGGAAACCCTTAATTCAAAACTGGTGACGCCTCACTGTTCCTTCCGACCCCTTCTGCCAACCTGCAACCGTCCGCCAACTTCCACCAAAAGACCCGCTGCAATCCTACTTCCGCGGGCTTCCGCCAGCCTTCCGCCCAGGGCGAGATGCGCGAAAAACCCGGCCCTCCCTGGAACACGCCACATGGAGCAGAAGAGAATCGGAGTCCATCAATCCCCATAGCGAGTGAGCTGCCGATTCGAACACCGCATGCACGAAGTGGACGCTCGTGCGGTAACTGCACACCCAAGGTGCGCAATATGCACGGTGGTGCCGTGTGCTGGCGCTTTGAGGGAAGGGCACGTGCACATACTGCACGAAGTTGGTACGTAACGTGGATGCAGAAGGCAAGGTTCACGAAGAGTACTGTAGAAGGGCATCCCCACAATTCCTAACGCATGATGTACTGATATGGACCATGGGCCACGGGACTGCACTGTCGTAACAGCAGCGTGTGTGCGTGTACGCTAGCGCAGAGGGCATTTGGCCTCTAAGCAACCAAGGGTATTATTCGTCAGCATAACACCACCAGTGGGAAGTTGGAGCGCACAAATTTGTCACGAACGGTTGCATATTGCGCGAATGCTGGCGCAAGTTTCGGGCGACACCAAATCCGTGCAACACGAGCCTGCGTGCCCCATCACGACCATTTCCACACCCTCTGCGTACACAACACCCTAAGGCAAGCGCGCCACCTCCCCCATCACGCTCGGATGATCTCCAAATCTGATACCTCAATACTGCCCTGATCAAGCTAATCGGCACATCGCTAGACATGATAATCTAAGCACGGAAGCGGGGAATGAGGATCATTAAGAAGGAGTTCGAGCAAGAAACACAGCAATCAGGTGAAAGGCGAGAGACCAGGCCGCTTCTACAAGCATCGCGCTGCCAGGCAAAGGGTATACAAAAAACGCTCGCTATGGAATGCCCTGCGTAAAGGTTGAGAAGGGAAGCACGTGTTCACACATCTCTGTAGGGTTCGGGCCAGTGTGGTGTTCTAGGCAACTCGCCACATGCGAACACAACTTGTTTGACCGTATGGCGAAAACGTGAGCTAACAGTCCGCCGCCGTGTCGCTGGGCATGGAGTGGGCGTGTCCTCAAGTCCTTTGCCGAATCCTCTAAGCCCAATCCTCACTTCCGAAGGGTCTGTGAGGAGCCCGGATCCCCAATTCTCTATTCGCCAGGGTTTTCCCGCGGATTGTCGGGGATCCAGCGCGCCTTGTCACATGATTTATTATCTTGCTCAGGGTGTCTAGAGCTCCGACCACTTTATTCCGCGTCGCACCGCGCACCCTCCTGCCCGCTCCCCTTCCTACCCCTCCCCAGCGTTCCCCAGTGGAACTTCCGCCAAAAACCCCCTCCGCACCGACCATTCGATTCCGCGTCGCGCCGCGCCCGCCCCCCTCCCCGCCCCCCTCCCGCCAACCCTCCCCAACCCCGCCCCTGCCCGCTCCCATCCCAGCCTTCCCAGTGTGCCCCGAAAGGCCCAATGGAACTTCCGCCCAATGCCCGTCGCACCGCGCCCGCATCCCCTCTCCCCGCTTCCCTCCCGCCCCTCCCTGGCCCCGACGGTCCAGTGGAACCTCCGGTAATTGCCACCTCCGCCCCGACCGTTCTATACCGCGTCGCACCGCGCCCACCTCTCCTCTTCTCCCCAGCGTTCCCCAGAGGCCCGGTGGAACCTTCGCCCAGTGCCCCTCCGCCTCGTCCATTTTATTCCGCGTCGCACCACGCGCCCCCCCAGCCATCCACAGCGTGCCCCAGCGGCCCAATGGAATTTCAGCCAAGCGCCCGTCCGCCCCGATCAATCTATTCCGCGCCGCACCGCGCCCACCCCCCTTCCCGCCCCCCTCCCGCCCCTCCCCGGCCCCAGCGGTCAAATGGAACCGCCGCCCAATTCCACTTCCGCCCTGACCATGTTATTCCGCGTCGCACCGCGCACCCCCTCCTCCTATCCCCAGCGTTCCCCAGAGGGCCAAAGGAGTTTGAAGGGTGCCGGCATGCCCGACCAGAAGCTACGCCTTAGGCGAAGCGCAGCTCCTGCTCTGTTGTATCGTAGCAACGAGAGTCCCAGTCGCAAGACATCCTCGCGGGAACGACGGGCCATCTCAAGCGCAGGATGTTTTCGGTCTCGATGGCAAATGGTACACCTCGCACTGAGGTGTAATCAGATATGGGCGGCCGCCGCTGGAGCACAAGCGGCCGCGGACACACGCTCGTTACCTCGCGCCTGTATCCCAGCTCACTTTAGAGTAGGGGGGGAGGGAGACGAAGCGTGAGCCCGCCGCTTCTATACAACATATACGGCAGCTACTACGCACAAAAGGCAACAAAAAAGGCGGGGCCGTAAGGAAGGCGGACCCGCACGCAAGTTGCCTTGCCTGCACGTCACAGTGCATACGATTACTTCTCAGGCGGCCGCAGACCAGGATGTCTGGCCAGCCCGATAAGGAGCATGACGCTTTAAGTCGAGTCATGCTTGAAGGATCGCGTACCTCCCATGACCTGTAGGAGCATATCTCTGTCGATTCTACCTTTGTGTGACCATCCGCGGGCATGTCGCGAGTGTCACACCACTGAACCCTATGCACGATTCCTCGCTCCATCATCAATCGTATCCAACTGATGTGTCCTGTAAGGGTACACTCAGCCGGCCTCTTCAAGTCTTTGATTGAGAAGGACTCAGAAACATGTTCAGCATTTGGTGACATTGATGCTCAGGCCACCCAAACTCAAGTATGTCTTTCAACTGAGTGGGATTAAAAGACCCCACATGGAGCTCGTGCAGAGTCACGATCGTAGGATAGCAGTCCTCCGGGTTGCGGGCTGCTGCTAGTGACTCTGCTGAATAGCTCGAGCGGACCTGCAAGCGGCGAGACTTGCAGTGCGCATCGGTCAAGTGGACGACAGACTTGCCGAATGGCGTGGCTCCATGCCGTAGCAGGTTTGCCCCGCGAATGCCGTAGCCTTTGACTTCGCCATCGGCATCTCCACTCAGGCGTCGATAACCTGAGTCGCTGTGCAAGTCATCTTCGCCCGTTGGAGTCATCGTTTGGTGGGCGATCTTCTGAGGGCAGGCCTGCAGATTCCCGCTGATCGCCTTCAGTCGTCGCGCTTGTGTTTTGGACGGCCCTTGGACACTTTGTAGAGAGACCACATATACCATCAACCACACTTGGCTGATTAATGCGCAAGGCAATGCGCCCCTGAGGCTGACGAACATGTCTGCAACCATCTTGGATGCCTTGGCGTCAGCGTCGGCGCCTGTGAGTTCAGGATGTTGTATAGGACGAAGCTGTTTGATGTATTCATGTTGGTCCAATGCGACATTGCCGTCCTCATCCTTGGTACACCTCGCAGCAAAATAGGCATGCGCACGTTTGCCAATGGTGTCCTCAGTACCTGCCACATTGATATCGTCAACATGTTTGGCTGTGAGCTGGTTGCTGCTCGTCTCGAACTCCTCGTCGTAGGACGTGGGTCTGAGACCAAAGCCTCCTCGTGGTCCTTCTGGGCTTCAGTGAGAATGCTCTGGGTGCATCCTTGGCGCCGGTGCCTGGCTCGAGGCGCCGCAGGCAGTGCTGCGACTCGTCGTGGCGCTCGAATCCTGGGGGGGGGGCTGAAGCACCGTGGCCGATCCAGGCGGCAGAGCAAAGCGTGCCACACGTTCTTTCTCACCAGTTGCCTCGGCAAGTTTCTGGCTGGTCAGCCCCTCCAGGATGGCCACGTTGATGTCGAGAAAAGCGACGATCCATTGCTTGTTGCACGCTGCCGCGCTTGCGAGTAACATCTGGCCTGGCCGCCGTGCTGTCCCTGAGATAGTTTCCACGGCGAAAGCTTCGAGGTCCATGACGCCCCGAAGCGCCAGGCGCAATCTGATGGCACGTTCCATCTCGCCCTTCTCTACCTTCGCGAACTTCAATTTGCGCGCGCACCTCGAAGCCATGATGTTTGACGCTTTAGATGCATATTGCACCATGAAACACTCGTTGTCAAACCATGTCTTGAGTTCAGCATATAGGGCCCTCGATCATTTCTTGGGGTTCGTTGGACGCTGGCCTTCGCGAGGAGGTCGTCTTCCTGTTTGAC